AGTACTATCGTAGTTTCGATAAAAGATCTTACCTGTTTATCATGTAGAATTCTTAGCAAAGGCAGACATTTGGCATAAACTTCTGGCTGTCAACTTTCTTCAGCCCATCAGAACGAGTTAAATGTTAACTGTCGTTGATGAACGTTCACCTATCGCTAATGGAACTCACTCGTCCCGCTCTAACTTGTGCATCCACACAACCTTTTATGCCAATAGAAATGAACATTTTTCTGATGACGAATCCGCGACGGATCTCGAAACGTCAGGCAAATAGGTCTCAATGGTAAGGCCGTTTGCCTCTGATCGGTCAGACCCGAGTGCAAAACTTGAGAGTGGCAGAAATTTCGGCGGCAGCACTGGAGTTGGGTATTACAAGCTGATGACGGCTAATAAGCCAGAAATGGCCATCCTAGTCTCCCTTTTCTGTATTGAGAATGTCCTTCTGTCCATATCGCTAGCGGCCTCGTTGCGTGGGCTTGAGTGAAAGCTCCAAAGGCACCATGAACGGGCGAATGTGTCTCCTAACTGATCGATGTACGCCTACCCGTCACTTACCTGTTTGCATATAAACGGTATGTAAACAGCCTCCCCCTGAAAGGTGTGCTGACTATTTCAGCAAGAATAGCCTAACTCATCGCCAAACGAATGCTTGCTTGTTAAATATGCTGATGATATGGTTGTCGGCCATCCTCTCAAAGGTCAGACACATCTCCAAATACTGAAGGATGGCCTAGACCACGTCTCAATATGGTCGGCAGCAAATGGCCTTCTACTCAATGAGCGAAAGTCAGTAAAGGTCTATGTTTCAACTGCGACACTCTTCCAGTCCTGAAACTATTGACATTCTGCCCAAAGAAGTATCCTCTTTCCGATACCTTGGTGTTACTCTGGCATCCAACCTTACATTTTCTTTGCATATTGAAGGTCTTTTTTATTAAAATCCGTAAACTTTGCTTGCGTTCAGATCAAAACTGCAAACCCAAATCTAGCATTTTTAGATGCCGGTATTCTCTTCCTCATTCTTTACTGCTCCGCAGTTATGTTCCCAGCCTATCTTTAAAAAGACCTAGTCATTTTAAAACGTATTCTCCGAATGCTCTCCTCAGCTACCGGCGGTTCCTATGCTTCTTAGCTGACATTATAATACAGCGACACTGTTAAACGTCCAAGGAATTGGCTGATCGCAACCTTAATGAGGTCTCCCACCCCCTCCACTCTGAACTAACGGCTGCGAAGTCTTCCCGTCTAATGCAGAGAGGGTTCCTTCATATGTCATGCCACGCGTCAGCATATCAGCAATGTGTACTCCCATTCCTAACACGCTACCTCACGCGTGAAGAAGCGGAAATTGAGAAGTTGAAGATTGACCTGTCTCCATAGTACATGTAAATATCCTGTAAACCTTTGATGTTGAGTATTCTATGACTTTTTACTTTTACCATGACCCATTACTCAACCTATCCTTTGTTCTCCGCGAATAAAGCCATTTTTGCTAAACATTTAGCATTGTTCATCTTAAATAAAGCAATATATATATCTTCTCTTCTTGTAGACGCCTATCGACAATAACTCTAACCAACTACAAAATCCCTTGCTGAGCCCTTTTAAAAAGTTGCTGGTTTTATACTTGGTCCATTGTCTTACAACAAGTTCAGGATCCAATGCAAAATACCCACACGAAAATGTGCTTGCGCTTCTAAATGTACTTTGGGCAGGTACGCTCTCGCTCTTACCATCCAGGCGCCAATTGGGCAGTGCAAGCTCTGGATTCTTCAACTGCCACGAACCCCGAAGATCAGTATATATAAACTACAGATGCAGTACTGTACATCATGATAAAACTAGCCACTACCATTCTGCTCAACGCCTAGCATATCCAGAGCCGCAGCCGCGATGAAATCAGCTGTGGGCACAAAGGGTCTGCTGGGTCGAACCTTGGTCATCTTGGTGGAAATGAGACAGGGTATATAGG